GGGGTCCAGCGGCGACCCGCAGCGGAAGACGAGCGTGGAGCCGTGGCGCTGCTCCGGCGGGATGCGCGCCTGGAAAGCTCCCTCCATCTCAAGCTTGCCGCGCTGCGGGCAGGGGCAGCGAGGGAGACACAGCAGGTGGTGGACAGGCTGGCTCGCCTGCAGTAGAAGCACAGGTGGGCCGGCCAAGCAAGGCGCGTGGCATGGCACGCGGCTGCTGTCCTAACTCGCCTGCGTCAGCACCGCAATGGTCCTGCCCCCAGATGCGCGGTACGCCAGGCACAGCTGCTTCAGCATGCGAGTGACCTGTGAGGTACGGGGCGACAGGCAGCGTCAGCGACAGGCAGACCGCCCTGGCATCCCGATACATATCCGCAGACAGAAGCACAGCAGAGCGTGGCGCTGCCAGCTGCAGCTCAGCTGGGGGCCAGCACGCAGCCAGTCGTACCTGCTCCATCTCTCCCGCCGAGTCGCACCAGCTCAGCAGCACGGTGTGCCCTTCCTCGTACACGCTGCTGCCCACCTTGACGTTGACCGTCAGAATTTCGAGGACAGCCTGCAGTGCGACAGCCAGCGAGACCGGCAAATGAGTTTTGTGGGGCAGGTAAAGCCAGCACAGCAACCAACTAGGTAGAGCTCATGTTCGCTGGAGGCCACGCTTTGCCAGCCTTTGAGCCTGATCACGCCCCGCAGCCTCTCACCTGCTCCACGAGCGCCAGTACCAGCGCGAAGCTGGCCAGGCCCACTGCAACAGTGGCCACCGCAAACACCTACACCAAGCAATGGGGCCAGCATGGTGGCACCAAGATGGGCGGCTGCACGCCAGCCGTGCGACCCCTTGCTGCCAGCCGGCCGCAAACAATCATCCCTGCTGCTGCTGCGCACAGCAGGCCCCTCCTGCGGCTTGCCTGGTTGACCACGCCAGAGTCGACGGAGGGCATGTCCTGCCCAAACACGGTCTTGAAGACGATGTACAGGTTGAGCCAGGCATCGCCTGCCTGCGCCTCCGCCCCAAAGGCCTCTCCCGCCGCCCCCGCCGCGCTGTCCATGCCGCCCATGCCGCGCAGGATGGCTCCTTCAATGCCCGCGCTGACCAGGAACAGGGCCAGATTGAAGAGCAGGAAGAGCTGCAGGTCGCTGAGCGTGTCCTTGCGCCAGTTGTAATACCTGCAGAGCCGGTGGCACGAATGGCGGCTGGATGGCGCTGGCGCCCCGAGCAGCCAGGGTGGGCAGGCAACAAGGCAAGGGATGCGGACCGGCGAGCCTGCCCCTGCCGGCCCTGCCTGGCAGACAGCGGCGACCATTTGATCCCAGCAGCAAGGGACGCGAGCCGTAGCAGGTTGCACTTACTGGTACAGCAGGCGTCCGGTGATGCTGGAGCTCCAGGCAGCCAGGCGGCTCGCCAGCCCGGGGTGCTGCCCACCACGCCGCCGCACCTGGCCGTCACTGCTGTCCACGCTCATGCTGTTTCCCAGCCCTGTGAACTCATCGCCGCTGTCTGTTGCGTCCGCATTGCCACGCCTGCTGCTGCTGCCAGTGACGGCCGCTGAACAGCGGCGGCGGCGGCCGAGCAAGGCGGCGGCTGGCAGCCCAAGGTACTGGCAACAACCCTGATCAGACGATATCCGCTTGTTGTTCTGGAAGGCAAGCTGGGCCGGGGGCGACCGCCCGGCCAGACAAAATGGCTGTGCGGGCCGAAGGTAGGGCATCAGTGCTGCCCACGTGGGACGACGCCGGCTGTTGGAGCGTCTGTCTGCTCGAAATCATGGGAGAGAGAGGCGATTCATGAGGAAAGGGAACGCTGATCGCAGGATGCCCTGTCAGGGCATCTGCCGCCACGCGGTCGCGTGCATGCACAGCAAAGAATCATGCAACAGCTGCCTTGCATGTACTGCAAGGGACTTGACTAACCACAATCTCAAGCTATCGCATTGGTACTGTGCACATTCGGGGCGCGAGCTGGGACAGCCTTCCGAGGCGTCACCGCTGACGGCAACAGCTGGAACAGGCGACGCTGAACACGGCGCATCAGCTGACTCACCAGCACCAGCGTCAGGTGCCAGTCAGCTGACCAACAAGCCCCCTCAACATGCAGCTGATCAGAAGCACAGGAACCGTCCAGAAAGAACCGAGCGGGCGGCGGCGCGCTGCGGCGTCATGCGCGCAAGGCGGGTGCTATGCATGACGAGCGCTGCCACTGCCAAACGCGGCGCTCTCGCACACGTTGGGAGTGAACATCCTTTCGACTTCTGCACCTGACGTTGCGTGCGACCTGGCGATCATTCCTCGCAGCCGTTGCCCACCAAGCGTTTCGGGACCCCCCCGGCAGCTTTCAACGACATGCTGATGTGTGCCTCGACGGTCCAAGCGGCCCTGCCCGTCTGCAAGGTGCGCAGGGCGCCAAGGCGGTGTTGCTGCAACTCTACCACCTCTCCCCTCCTGCTCCTGCGCTCCTCCACGCGGCCCGCGTTGCAGCTCGGTCCATCACTTCAAACCCTGACGGTTGGCGGCACGGATCGCTCCGCCGCCGCTGGTGCAGGGACCCGCCCGTCGCGCCGCCCCCGCCTCCCGCGCGGGCCGCCTGGTTGCACGTGTCAGCCGCAACGAAGCTGTCCTGCTCAAGCCCCTCTGCCTCCTCACCCTCGCTGCTGCCGCCCTCAGATGGGTTGCGGTCGCCAGACACTGCAGCGTGCAGAAGCAGTACACACAGATGGGATTCGTTATTGTCCCTCGCTCCCAGCCAGCGCCACACCCGACCCGGCTGCCGTGGTAGCAGCAGCGGCAGGGTCAATGTTACAGTCACCCCGCTATGATAGGCCGCGTGAGCAGACCTTGGGCAGGCGGCACACGTGATCAAGGGGCATCAAGAGAGGGGGTGGACCATGGAGCACCCTCTCCATGGCTCCGACCACCCTGCCCCCAGCTGAGCGTCCCAGGGTCACTCCACCCTGTCCCCACTTCCAGTCCTGCCGGACACGCAACCCCCACAACGTGGCAGCTGCAAACGCACTGCAAAAGCACCCGCCTGATTCATGCTCGATCTCGTCAAGCTCGTCATCGGAATCATGCTCGACCTGCAGCTTCTTTGCCGCCGCGCCTGCTGCCTTACGCTGGCTGCGTGGGCGCGCGCTCTGTGTCACGTGCAGCACACCAAGATCAGAGGTGCAGCTGGTAGTAGCCAGGAACTAGGTAGGTGTGCTGCTGCCAGCACAACAAGAAACCCCTGAAGACAGCAACCTTGCTCACCGAGGGCGGCGCCTCCTCCTCGCTGCTGCCAGCCAGGTCCACCACCTCATCCGCATCGTCTACAAGCAGGCACCAACAACCAGCCACGGTGGCTGCCAGGTGAAAGCGTGCACCGCAATTGGCCAAGAGCGCTGCAGCACAGCTGCATGTGCCCAGGCGCCGTCTGGGGCGTACCTGACTCTGGAGCGGCTGCGGCTGCCACCTGGCGCTTGAGGGCAATGCCACCGCCGCTTGTTAACTTGGCTCCTGCCTTGGACTTGGCCGCCACACCAGTCTTGCCCTTGGACGGCTTGGCAGCCTGCTGGCTGCCGATCTGGCTGCTGCCGCTCTTCTTGAAGAAGGCATCAAGCGTGCCCTGCTGCGGCTTGGCTGCAGCCCGTCCCGTCAAGGGCTCATCCTCGTCGCTATCGTGGACCGCCAGGTCTCTGCAGCACAATGCCGCATGACGCACAAACGTGGAAGCTTGCAGCAGCATAGGAAGGAGCGCCAGGACAGCACCACCACAGCAACAGCAGAGACAAGCGGTACAGCAGCACCGATCCCGGCAGCCCCACACTCACATGGGGTGCGACTCTGGCTGCTGCTTGGCCTGCGCCTTGCGCTGCTGACGCTGCTGCTGGCTGCCCAGGCGCGGCAGCTTGCGTGGCGCAAGATCCTCTTCTTCAGAGTCGCCTGCAGCCTCGAAGCGCTAGTGAGATGAGAAGCTACACCCTGTGCCGCAGGGAGATCACACATACATCAGTCAGCAGCAGCCGCAGCACAGCAGCAGCAACAGCTCACCCTCGTCCTCTGTGTCCCTACCGCTGTCCTCATTGTAGCGAAGCCGCTTGCGGCCCCCGGGGCGGCTGGCGCGCCGCTGCGGGCGCTGCAAGCAGGAGGAGGGTAGCAGGCACAAGCACAGGGCTCAGCGCCGGGCACACATGACGTGAAGAGCAGAGTGCTCAACAATGCCTCAACAAAGTGCCTAGCTGCTGTCCAGGAGGTGCAGCATGTGTGGTGCCGAAGAGCAAGAGGACACAGCGCAGCACACACCTGCGACGCTGGTTCCTCCTCATCATCATCATCCATCGCCTCAGCAGCGTCCGCCTCCTTGCTGGCGCCGCCACCAGCCCCCGCGGTGCCTACAGCCATACAACATAGCAGGAGCTCAAGCAGCACTGCTAGCAGGGTGGACACAGCAGGCAGCCGGGCAACAGCCTGTCGCTGAGCGAGGCCACAGAGGCGTGCACCTGCGGCTGCATGGCAGCCGTGCCCTCTAGCAGCGAGCACAGCACTTGGATGACTGGGGCAGTCCACCAGTAGAGCCAGCATCTGCAGGCCGCCGCATTACAGCAGCCAGCGGTACAGCGCAGCAGTGGACCACTCACCCCGCCCGCTGAAGTCGTACTTCAGGTGCACTGCCGGCTGCGCCAGCCAGTCGGGCTCTGCCAGCCGCTTCTCCTCTGGGTTATCCTCGGCGCTGCCGATCCACCACCCCTCGCTGAACACCACCTGCAGGCAGGAGGGGAGCGGGCACGCAAGGCATGGCTACAGGAAGGCAGAAAGTCGGCTGGCAACAGCACGTGCGCTGCAAGCGGGTAGAAGCAGTGGATGCTGCTGCGCGCCAAGCCCTGCCCCGCTCCTCCACCGCTTCAGCAGCACGCGCACACAACCTGCACCCACCACCCAGCCAGTCCCTGCTTACCATGCTCTCCAGCACGTCCTCGC